GGCTACATGCAGCAATTACTGAGAAAGTGGACGTCTACAATTTCGGTGTGGTAAATTTAGAGATAGTCTGTGGAAAGGAAGTTTTTGACGAATCTCAAAATCGGGAAGACATGTACTTGTTAGGAGTTTTCAAGAAAAAGAGTGAAGCAGGACAATTGTTGGATATGATCGATAGGAATACTGATGATACGCAATTGAACGGACCTCACATGGTTAGTATGATGAGGCTTGCCATGTGGTGCTTACAATTTGATTTCATGAAGAGGCCTCCCATATCGACGGTCCTCAAAGTTCTGGAAGGAGTGACGGAAGTCCCAGATGACCTAGACTATGAATTCTCATATCCCACCATGACGAATGTAAGTGTAAGAATTGGACAAGAGGATGTTGTATTCGGCTCTACCATTTCTGTGGTGCCCTCTGTTTTTTCTGGTCCACGATGATCTATATCGACCAAGTTGTTATGGCAAAATATGCAACATCGAGGAGGGGTGAAAGGTTGATAAACGAAACTTGATGACTTTTCGCGGAATAAATAGTATCATGTATATTCATGGAAGATCAGTTTGATATATGCAAGAATAATATGATGATATCAAGTGCGTTGCTTTTATCAAACAGTTATAGAAATAAGTAGATTGAGATGGAAGAAATTGCATGCATATCTTAAGTAGTTTTCATTTTGATAGTTGAATAATCAATTTAGCTGTTGTAGATAAGTGGTCAAATCACCGCAGATCTGGTCGCTCTTTCAATCCATTCTTCCAACTTCCGCAAATAGAGATGCTTATATTAGGAAATGATCATTTCCCACCGAGATAATGGATAATTGATTGGATTTTCAACTGAGCAAATAACAATAGAATTCCAGGCCTTTGGTTTGCTGTTAATATTCCACGAGACTTGGATTGATAGTCAACGAAAAATCTTAGTCATCAAATATTTTATCACGTGACAAACACATTTTTCTTAGGTGATATAGGGCCTGTTTGGTTGGGAATTTGAAAGCTACTTTGGGGCTCTAAAGTCCCTTCAGCAAATGCAAACCTATTTGGCAAATATTTTGGCAAGCTTTGAGGAGATACAATTGTATCTCCAAAGCCCTCTAAGGGACTTTGGTTGAATGGAGGGATGGAGGAGCTTTGGGGACTTGCATTTTCGGAATGTAATGTGTACTGTTCACGTGCACTGTTCATCTTCCCAACTGAGACCGACGACCGCCGCCTGAGGGGTCCGGCCACCTCCGCCTGGGGGTCGGCCGACATTCTGCGACCGCCGGCCTCGCGAGACCCAGGCAACGCTGCCTGAGGTCGCGTGACCTCAGGCGGCGTCGCCTGGGTCGCGCAACCTAGACACCGCCTAAGGTCGGCCGACCCCAGGCGGCGGTCGCCAGCCTCGCGCGATCCAGGCGACACCGCCTGAGGTCGCGCAACCCTCCGGCAGCGGTCGCCGGGGTCGCGCAACCCAGGCAACGCCTGAGGTCGCGCGACCTCAAGCGAGGCTAGCCGGCAGCCAGATCTGGAAGTCGAAGCTTGGCCGGCGGCCAGCCGGCCATGGCTCTTCCTTCTTTGCTTTTTTTTTAAAAATATTAGCAAAAGTTCTTCACAAAATTAATTTTTACCAAACGGTATTTAGACCAAAGTTACTTTCAAATGTGATTTTAAAATACACGTTACCAAACACTACTTGCATTTCGAAAAACCCTTTTAGCTCAAAGGTATTTGCATATATGCAAATGCATTCCCCAAAAGCCGAACCAAACAGGCGCATAGTCAATTGCTCATATCAGCTGTCCGTGAGTATATCCAACCTTCCAGCTAACAGCTGACCTACTTATTGCTGTTCATTGATCTTCCTAAGTCCATTAGTGCTCAGGCTTCACCAAACTGTTCACCTTTTGGACAAAACTGTTCACCTTTTGGGACCTTCAAGTCATCACGAACTTCATGTCCTTCCCGACTTGTTCACCCTCTAATATGGTCCTTCCAATGTCTGTAAGTCCTTCCACTTTGCACTTCGGATTACACAAATGGCAATAGAGCTTAATTTAAATTTATGTCGCTTGAACCAAAACAATATCTGCATTAATCGAGTCATAAATCATAATAGATGGTTTTGTCAATATCAAATTATGATGGGAGGTTTTCTCAACACATGTCGCGTACTTTTTCTATGCCAGAAATCTGGTTCGAAGGGAACTAAGTTTTTGCATACCATGATTTTGTCTATTTGCCTAACGACACTATGATATTGATGAACCGCATCACATGATAACTGTCCTACCATAGAATTTTTTTTATATCCCCCTGTTCATTGCTCTAAAGATTTGAAAATGCATATGTATATGTCGATGAACTTTGTACCAGATGAGTCGCAAGTCCATACGAAGACAATCAAATGGATTTTACTTGAATCATGAACTACCGATTGCTGAGTACCTTGGTTTTTAAAATTTTGATTGGAAGGTCACCATTCTAGTGGACAAAAAGTAGGGAAATGGTTTGATCCTACCAATTTGTTTTTTGAAATACCTACCTCGCACATGTATTTACTTTTCATAGACAATATTTGAAACTTTTATGATCTTATCGTGTCATGATCCTCGATCTGCTCTTACGACCGGATCTCTTCGAATGCCCCTAATGAATCAAAGTTGGCAAACATCAATGCCTGAGAATAATTCTACTTTTCATTGGCCAATTCGAAGCATTGTACATCAGGAAGGTGGACACGCTGGGCCCCGTTTCTGGAACTAATTTTGGGAGCTTGTCACGAGATTCTCAATTGCTCTGTTCATTTCTCTATAACTTTGGAATCACAAGCTGTGGGCAAATACCCCTGTTGCCCCATTTGCAACAGATAAAAAGACACCTTATCTAGTAACATCTTGTTAGCTGGTTGCGCCTTGGGAGTGAGAAGAAAAAGTCTTGCATGCACCAGATGCATACAAGGCCACTTCGTCTCAGCCATGCCTCGGATTCATACAAAAACTTTTCATCGTCATGCCTAACTTTTCTCCAATTCTACCGTTGCGTCTTTGCTAATCGAGTGGCTTCTCACGTTTGGGGGGTGAAATTCTAATTTTTCTGCCACACACATGGTAAAAAATAATCGGTCTACCGTTAACAAAGTTTGCGCAGCTTATGCTTCTTTATTGTGCTTAATCACGGTTTTCACATTACAAGAGGAAGTACTAAAAAGTAGATGACAGTTCACACCATGTGATTCATGATCTTTTCCTGATCATCATAATCCCAAAAAAAAGGCTGGGTATTGCACGTACGAGCAAAAAGGGACAGACCCAGGTTGGAGTTCACTTGCTTTTGTCTGCTGAGATTTTGCACTTGGCTTTCCAACTGGCAAAGTTAGTGACAACCACTCAAGCAAGGAGAGGCTTCTCGTCAGCTGAAGCAAATGCATATGGACGACCAGCTGGTTCGCGGGTCTCCGAAGAGAAGTACAACAATCATTTTCCTAGTATCACTGACAAAGTATGACATTGTCAGAAAGAAAAAGAAGTTGGAAAAAAGTATACTCACGGCTCTGCAGTTGCACCCAGTCAAAGTATCGTTGAAACTCCATTCAGCGGCATCACTTTGCTACAGTGCACGTGGATTCTTCTCTCTCTCTCTCTCTCTCTCTCTCTCTGAAGCTCCTGCAATTTTGTCCGTTCAAAAACGAAAAGCGCTCCTGCGAAGTTGAATTGGGAGATGCGGGGAAGTTATAAAATTCACTGTGCGGTCCTGGCGACAGCGACCAGCGCCGGGTTGCGAGCTCCCTCCTCTTAAAAAAAAAAAATAATTTGTCCAAAAGAGTTGTCATAATATTATTAGAACGATAATTTGTTTATGAAATAATTTTGTGTCATGATATATTGAATCATACCTTGAAACGGATATTGAACTATAATTGTGGAGCAGTAGCTAGAACTATCAAATTGGTGAAAATGAATATTGACATACCGTACTTTTCGTGTGGCACTCATAATTTTTCGATCCCTGAAAATTCATGATTGTTAAAGACTAACCACTACTTATGTTACTCTAACAACTTATATTTTCGATGAGAATCGTACTTGGCATTAGTTTGATGATGAACATATCTAGCATTGGCCTATGTTAAAGATAAGTACATCCAACGTGGCTAAGTGAAGCAAAACATTATACTCTTCCAGCGAAATTGCTATGTTGGTGCCCGTCTCGTCTCCCCAACCTTCTTCCACTTTGCTTCAAATCGAAGGTCAAGTTCATTGATGCAAGCAAGGGTCCCTACTGAAAATGAAGTATGACACGTGATAAGTACCACATCCGCATCAAAAGGTTCTAAACATAGATGCACACCAAATTGTTGCACAATGCTAATTTAATCAATCACCGATGACGTACGTCAATCAAAAAAGTACACTCTTCGAAAACAATCCAAGCCATGATGCATTTAAATGCTAACCACTGCCCTTTCAAGCTCCCAAAGTCAATATCAATGAGATGCTGTGCCCACTACATGACAGGAGCATTTGGCTAGTGGAGATGTTTTGACAAACAAGCAAAACTTTGCAAGTATTAAAAATATTTTTTTTATCGAATGAATCGGCCACGAACTAAACACATTCGAACCATTCAATTTGATGGGAGTGGACTTGCTTTAAGCGTAGTACCCGCGATGATTAACAATTAAGATTGATTCGGGGTGGATGGGTTAAAATCTCGATTTGTATATACCCGATTCACCCAATATTACAGATCCGCTCGATTAGGTACTTTCGGATACCTTGCTTTAGTGCGCAACATGGCACACCCCACTTGCCGATTTCAATAGGGCCATGACATCATGTAGCTTTGGATTTTAAGCTAAATGATTGCTTGTGGGTCCAATTTCCCTTCTTCCTTTTTCTGAGGATGAGACCATAAGGGTCCAATGTCAACCTCCCAATTTTGACAAAGTCTTTCTAAAAACGTTCTTCATCCCAAACGCAGGAATCTAACCGAACGTGCGATCAAGAAAAATAATAGAGACCAAGGGAGATTATTGCTCTTTCCTTTTTATTTACAATTACAGATTAGAGGATTTCCCTCCCCCCGCCCCCCCTCAAAGACGACACGAAGATGAAGATTGTGTGGTTCAAAATAAAGGCAAAAAGGAAAAGAGGAAAAGAAAAAATCCAAGATAAATGAAGCTAAGAGACATCACTTGGAAAAGGAAAAATGGAAAAGAACGAGGAAGATCGACGATGATGATCAGCCACTGTTATCTCACGGTGGACGCGACTGTGTGAGCCCATGACCTGAGATGGTCCTTCATGGCCATCTCGTTCCCTACAGCCGGCACTCTCCAATTCACCAGCGGATCCTCGTATCTCTTCCGCTGGCGATCCAAACCGTCCCACGCTTCCGACAAGTAGGGCCTCGGAACCTTAGCCTCATCGGCCTTCTTGTCTTGGACTTCGATCCTGTCGCCGCCGTCTCTCGATCCCAGTCTCTGCAGCCCGGGAAGGATCGAGACCAAGTCCAAGTCGTCCCTGTCCTGCTCGGAGAACACGAACCCCAGATCCATGAACCCCTTGAGCTCCTGGAACTCGAGCTCCGACAGGCTCTTGCTGCTCTTGCTCCGCTTCTTCCTAAACCTCCTTACGTTCTCTGATTTCTTCCTTCTCCCGGGTTGTGACCGCGACTCCTCCGCCTCTCCCTCGCTCTTGGTCGTCCCGTCCTCGCCCTCGAAGTCCGACACTTCCTTGCCGGAGAGGATGGTCTGGAGCTTCGGAGTGACCGCCGCGAGGAGGACCGAGTTCGGAGAGAAAGGGTGGGAGCCGAGGCCGCGGCCGCCCAAGAACTGGTCGCTCATGGACCTGACGTGGAGGGTCGGCGCGCGGGACAGCTTCGTCTCGAGGAGGAGACGGTCGTGGTCGTCCTCGTCCTCGTCGCCGCGGCCTTCATGAGAGGTTCTCGTTGCAGAGGAGGAAGATTTTTCGCCGAAGATGGCGCAGTGGAACCAGAACGAGTCGAAGAGCTCGAAGACTTGCTCTGCAGACATGCGTTGGTGTAGGCAGTACAGGGAGAGAGGGAGAGAGAATGAGAGCGCTCTGAAGAAGAAGATGAGAGAGACTAGGTCAAGGAAGAGGAAAACTCAGGTGAGGAGGAGGGAGAAAGAGAAGGGGGTTCGATATTTATACGTGGCGGATTTACAGGGATGCCCCTGAGTTCGACCTCATATTGCGCGTTGGAATCTTCTGCAAGGACCGCAGTGTAAAACGTTGGTGTTTTCTTAAGTAGGGATCTTCGAAGTAGAAAAGTCCGCGGTCGTTGTCACTGGGGTTGCGTTTCGTTTGACTGGTTTTACGAACTAACTAACGTCTGCCAGTAGTTTTATGGAGTATAATTCGTTGATTTGAAACTTGTGCCACGTGAGGGGGACGCAGGGAGAAATTTTTTTAGTGTTTCGACAGGGTGTTGGGTGTGAATATAAACGTTCTTTAAACTCTGATGGAAAATTAGGTTATCTTGAGAAATTGTTTTATTCGTGCGATGCTTCTTTGGAAAGTCGGATTATTGTGTTTTGTATCAAATAATTACTGCTCCGAAAAATTATGAATTAAAAAAGGCGGTGTTCTCTCGATCTTTCTCCCCCTCCTCCTTAAGCCAACTACCTTAGCCCTGTACCTCGCCGTCGCTATCGCCGTTGCCGCCTTTGAAACACCCCGACGGCCATGCTCCTGGCCAGACAAACTTGTGGTCGTTAATGGAGGATACGAATTTGGGGTCATTTTCACTTCAGAGAGAGAGAGAGAGAGAGAGAGTGGTAGGTGAAAGAGAGAGGGGTCAGGCATTTAAAATTGTGTATTTCGTCAATTTTAATATGATTAATGATGCTAAAGCTAGTTCAGGCCAATATGCTAAGATTATGACAGCAATCCTATTTTTCATATACTCTTCTCGGATTATCCAAGGAGCAAAGGAGCTCAAATTTATCAGGAGAATCAGTGGATGTATAGAGAGTGTCCATTAATATCACGATCTTCTATTCTTGTAACAAATATTTTCAGTCAATTATGCCAAGATAATTTTAACATTGTAAATAACATTAACACACAAAAAAACAAAAAAGAGATTCACCATAAATAGTCCTAATCAATAATAGTCACCATCAATGTTTTCATTTTTTTTTCCACCATGCTTTCCCTTGGAAGGTAATTAAGGCTGCTTGTGAAAATTTCTCCGACCAATGGTACTTACAATGCTAATCAAATCCAACTTTTTCATATAGTCTTAAGTAAATATTAGCCTCGCCGCCCCGTCAAAAAGCACGAGACAAAATGTCGTGTGAGGTTTTGCATCACGTCCCAAGGTTATAACCGTAATATCGGGTCCTTGTCGAGGGTGGAATGGGGAAAGAGGAATTAGCAACTCCAATATGCGAATGCTCTCTTTTGATTAGCTGTATATAATTGGACCCCCACGTCCCCATGACATGAGTAAAGGTAACGTCAATGCCCCACCAAAAATAGTTCGAACATCATGCGCGGAGAATTTACTATATTTGAAAAGCATATATATTAAACTGGACTTGTGTCATTAAAGTTTGTAGGTCTCGTGTGAATTTCACCACATCTGGCGATCCAGACTCGTCCATCCTCCTTAACTTTTTGTTCTTTGAAAAAGGAAAAAAAAAAAAAGACTTCTTGTCCTACCCTTAATTCTACCTAAAAGCCAAAATATTTCACCTCAAACCTAAGCAAAATGCTAAAATGAGTTAGTAAGGAAGAGAAATTTAGTGATTTAACTTTCGGATCGGTAACCAAGAATCTCCCTTGAATTATTAGTGGTGATTACTGATGGTACCTCACCAAAGCAAAGAAAGCTTAAGCTTCCGACTAGAGACATCCCGCCTGTTTAAGTGTATATATTTAACGGGCTGACAGGACTGTGTTTCTTATTTTAATGTTTCGGTACCCGCATGTTCAGTCGCATTAAATGAAGAGAGTTTTTCTTTTATCATCTTAGAAAATATCTTCGAATTTTACGTTTTAGAGTTCAGACAAAATAGTTTAAGGACTTATTTAGATTTATTGCTAAAATGAGTTAGCAAGGAAGGGAAATTTAGTGATTTAACTTTTGGATCGGACTAAAGGTTGCGTGTACTTTTTATTTGATGCGGATTTTTCACTTGATATTTTCTAGAGAAATCAAGCGTCAAAAACGAGAGAGTTCACGTGTGGTGTCAAACATAGAGACAAAAGCTGAGAGTGACCTCATATCTATCAACATGAAGGGCTGATTTTGGGAATCAACTCAACGGGTACACACACACTGATTCTTACATATACGTACACAACTATGCTGTTTTCCAAACTGGACGTATGATTGATGATGACCCCACTGTTATACGCTGAAGATACTAACCATACGTGTGGTGATTTTTTTATTTTTTTTTTATTGTGTGTCAAATTAGATCTCTCTCTCTCTCTTCAGAAATTGCATTGTATATGCTATTGCTCAACTAACCTAGATTATGATCATGATTATAAATAGGTAGGTATGAAGTTATGTGAAAGCTTGTACGTGTTGTGTACATAAATATTATACTGAATATTTGCACTAGAAATCAAATTTTGAACTAACGGTTGATTAGATCACATATAATCGCTGCACACGTCTTTCTCAAATAGACCTGATCAGTGGGCGGATAATTGGTCCACTGGCTTGGCTGTATTTGTTAGACTTGCTGGGTGGGCTCAGGCAAAAAATTATTGGGCCGACTCGTATATTTAGTTGAAAAAATATTGTTATATTAGTAATTGTGCGTGTACACTTTTAAAAGTTTATTTACACTATGGGGTAGAATGAGCACAAATTTCTAGTGTAGGATAAAAAAAAAATAGTACAACACATTACTTTTTTTAGCTAAAACTTTAAAAAATAAAAAATGGCCCGACGACCTGCCCGACCTACCCATATATTTTTCTCGTGTAGGCTTGGGCACTTGAGCAGACCCGCAAGTTCAGGCTTGGACAAGACCTCTAAAGGTTCGAGTCCAAGCAAGTCCGGCTCGAGCTCACCTAAACTCGACCAATGAGCATATCTACTCTCCTAAACCCAATGCCGAGTGTTTTAAATACAATTAACACATGGCATGGATCCAATTACTAATATATCAAATCTCGGAATGTATCATGCAAAAGGTTTGTCATCCAAAACACAATTTCACCATATGGTAAAAACTTCAGGAAAAAATCCTTTCTCAAGAGCACTTCAAGGCATCGTGATGTGAAGTATCATATGGGGGTGGTCCATGAATAGGATCTTTTAAGACAAGAGGGGCACATAAAAAAAGCAGGTGGTGCTGAGGAATCAAATCATTAAAGGGCAACATCCAAACAAAGTTTTTAACATTTCATGTTTGGTAGTGTAGCGTTAGGTATGTGATCGATGATAATGTTCCTCAACTCTGGCACGTTTCCACCATAAAAAAAAAAAATTATGGCACGCTTAACATGTGGATCGAGACAACGACCCCTCAACAAATTAAAGATCACGCGCTGCTCGATGCAGATGAATCGTGGGACTCCCCATGATTGATATTGAACAAGAACGGACAAAAACGGCGAAGACCTTTCCTTTTTTCTAATTTTTAAGAAGAAAACGAGGAAATTTAGGAAAATGTCATCCAACAGAGTTTCATGCGACATATATTGCTTCAACATGCATATAGAGGCTCGAATACCTGGAGCCCATGGATATCATGCAAATTCCATGAAATGGTTTAGTTCGGGCTTTTGACCTTTTAGCCTGTGTAGGTAGCCCCGACCATGAACAGTTTGGTGAGACGAAAACAATAATAAGATTTTTTTTCATCGACTTTCTTTTGATATCGAAGTTTTATCACCCCACGAATAATTTGCACGGAATTAAAGGCATATGAATAAGTAACCTCCAGTTTCAAATGAGTTGCACATCCCTAACACTCCATTCAACTACACTATTGTTATCAATAGAATTTTGGTATCAAAATAGATTCAACGAAAAAAAATCTTATTATTGTTTCTAACTCACCACTTGCGTGAAAGATTGTTTTTTTAGAAAAGAAGGAAATTTTGGGAAAATCATTGTATTTAGAAGGGAAAATTCCAAAAATCCCCATGACGTGGGACCGTTTTCACAAAGCTACTTTATTTTAAAATATCTCATGAAATTGATCACTTTGACATAATAACCCATGAGATCATCACCTATGAATATTATTTCCAATCGAACAACATGTGTTCGTCACACACGCGTTTCATGCTTGCCTGGATACTCTTACCCAAACTTCTTGCGCATAGGAAGCATCTAGCTAGGTTCGTTCTGTCCATGATGTTCTACTTACAAATGTTCCTGCATCTGTAGTGATCTTTCATCTCTAATTTTTCGATTTTTGCTCTAAAACTGTAGTCCTTTTCTCTTAGTTGAAAAACTAGGGCGAAATTGAGGATCAAGGTTTTCAACCGTGCATGTGAGCGACATGAAGGAAATGTGCGTCTTTTCAGACAAAAATGATACTAGGTGATACCATCCACCTAAATTTAGTAAAACAACGACGTATTTATTTCAACCGTTTCTAATTACGAGTATACATGCCAATCTCGTTCTCATTTACTTCATGATTCAACAATTGTCGCACGTTTAGTTGCCACTCCAATTGACTCGCCTTTAATACAAATTTTCAATAGTACGACAATGAAAGGTTGAAATTCGAGTCTTATTTTGTTAATTAGTTTTTTTAAGACAAGAGATTCGACGCAGATTCTTCCAAGCGATTTTGTTTTAGCATTACTGGTTTGCTCTTGATCCTGCTTTAAGTGCATCCATCATTCATTCAAGCATCGAGACAACATGTGTAGCCTTCTTCTTTATGGTATCAATTATAGCCAATGAAAATAGCCATATCTTGAAAGTCCAAAATTGAGTAAGAAAATTCGCTGGTTGTTATATTGCAGAGGAAACAAATCATTATAGTGAGATCAACATGCAAATTCTAAATGCTTTTTGTCAATATATGTATGCATTTGTGTATGTATGATAAAGTATCTAACGTCGCTTTTATATGAATTTTATATGCTATTTACATGTACGTGGTCTCCATCCTCCTATCGACTTTAATTTTTTTCAAAAAATCAGCGAAAAGTGTCGGAATAGCTCCTAAAAGGTGCTGACGTTGCTATCGTGGAGAAATACTTGATGAGACTCGATGGATGCTTTCTCAGACAACAAGAGCTTCGATACCAATTTAGAAAATCCAACATAAAAGTTTAAGCTAATAAGTTTAAGGTGATTTTATGTATATAAAGAACATATAAACCCTATAGACAGACGATGTACAATATATTAATATCCCCTTTTGTGTCCAATCCAGATTAGGAACGACACATAAAATTTGAGGAACGTGGAGCAGCACACTTGAAATAAATTGCTTCTGCCCAATTTATTTCATATGTGCCGCCCCCCATTATGGGTTGGACTTTTTAATATACAAGTTAAGTGGTCACATTTCCGGTGATTCTTCATTTTTGAAGGTCAGTTCCCCATCCAAGCCAACATTACCGATATCTCTGGTTAATAGTCTTGAATTCTTGATATATTGGCTCCAAAAGTTCATCTTCTTTCAAACGAAATGGTTGAATTAATAGTAGAGGGGCGGATGCGTGTGTTGATGCAAGACATGATACAAGTTCGATTCCCTTATGCTATTGCTACAAACGATCTTATGTTTGGATCAATCAATCGGGCTTCCGTGTCTTTATGTGGTCCATGAGATTTCGCATGGCATTTCATGGGGCCAGAGTTTTATCTATTTGAGTCAACTTATATTAAATGCCATGCATTTCACGTCCTTTGACAAGGAAAAAGGAGATTTCTGCATTTGATCTTATTGTGACACTGCGAAATCGGTCTTTTTCACTTGCCCATTGGGTTTTGTACCTCAAATGGAAGGTAAGGATTATGAAATTTATTATTTAATTATTTATCCAAAAAGCTAGGGTGAGCATATCGAACCGATTGAACCGAGAATTGCCCGGACTAGACCAAACCGGTTGGTTCTGGTCGGTTCCTGAGAGCGCAGATTCGTTTCCCGATTTCAGAATGAACCGGACTGAATCGGACCGCCCATTTTATTTATTTATTTATTTTATTTCTCGCGATTCTCTTTCTCTTCCCCACTCTCTAGTCTCCTCTCTCACAGACCGAACCGAACCACCCCTCTTTCCTTCTCCTCTCTCACGAGTCACGCCCCTCTTCGCCTCTTTCACAGAATTCATAAACCCTAAATCGCCTTTCAGCCTTGCTCTACCTCTTACGCCTCGCTCAACCTCTCGCCTCTCATATCTACCACTCACGCCTCTCAGCTCGGCGGAAGATGACTTGGATTTGAGTCGAAATCAATTTTCACACGTCCCAGGCGGTCCTATCTGAACGTGGGCTGTCGTCGTTAATGCCCAGAGTCGCATAGGTACGCATTGAGCCGCTGCGAATTAATCTACTAAAGCCGAGACGGTGGCTAGACGAAGACTTGAGCCGGATCTAAGAAGGTTCGTTGGAGTTTGAGGTGGAGGAGCGAGCGCTCTGAGAGAGGAGGTGGGTGAAGCAGAAGCGAAGAAGAAAAAGCAAGCTTGGGTTGATGAACGTATGAGAAATCGACGACAGTCCATGTGGGGAGAGAGAGAGAGGAAACAAAAATGACGATCTTGATCCGGCTCAAGTAGAAAGGAGAATGTCTCGCTCGTGGTCGTGGATCTTGATCCATATTGATTTCCCCGCACCAATTCTATTGGACCCTCCCGGGAACTAAACCGAACTGGTCTCAAGACTGAGCGATCTGGTTCACGATTCCAGAAATTGGGAATCGGGTCCATTTGGTCCGGTTCCTCTTACGTGAGATCGGATTGGATTGAAAGCCGATCACCCCTGCAAAAAGCCAGAACTGTCGTGGAGTAATTTATGGAATCCCCATAAATGAACCTACCACATAAATAGAGTTGAGGCCCATCTAAAAGACTTGGACTCACATCCATCCACGCGGTCAAAGCCCAAAATCAGTGTCTTTGAAGAGGGTCTCCAAACCCACATCATCTTAAAGTTTCTTTTCGACGATTCAGTGAGGATCTAGTACCTCACTTTTCAAATGACAACAAAATGAATTTTTATGTATATCCACCGCTAGATCAAATAAATTGAAGAAAGGTTTTATTATAGGTGATCATCGAGGGAGGGTGGGCAGTTTAGGTCCCGGTCGGACCCAGTAAGTTGCCTAGGCTCGCTCATAATAATATACAAATTTAATGTTCGGGCTATACTGGGCTTGGACCAAAGTTGGGCTGGCCAGCCAACCTCAAATGAAAGGTCGATGCTCAATCTCGTCCATCACAATATCGTTTATGGTCCATCAAGATAACGTTTTTATATCATAGCTCATCATATCCTAATACATCTGGTTGTAATTCTTAAACAAAATATCGTAGTACGCTATGCAAACACTTAAAAAATTTTAAACTAAGATGAGATTTAGTTAGGTCCTATTCAACAGTTACGAATGGAACATGGTGTCCAGAGATTTACCCCAACTACCACTCTACAACAGCCACAGGTTGAAGAGAAGCCCACTCCTTTTTTTTATGTAGATTTTAGGGAAACCAGACGATGAAGCATTCCTGGGTACACCCTGGACGGGCATGGCAAAGCTAGGACCCATTTCTTTAGGCACGTTTGAATAAAAAGGATAACTGGGTCTGGTTTTCTTTGCTAGCATTAGCATTATTAAATGACTAATCCTTTTAATTAATCGCTAAACTAAGTCTCGATCTCCGTCCGCACGCGACAAAAACACGGCTTTAATCGATTAAATTAATCCGCAATCTACCCAAGAAAAAGCTTAATAATCTAAAGCGATCAACGTAAGAAATTGTACCCGAGCTTTGTCCGATTCCTCACCTTATCCACCAACCTCATCACTTAGTTTTGATGAGGCTCCATGATTCCACATGTTAAACCCCACTCTACTTGATCAATCCCTCTTAAACTTTAATTAATTAAGGCTCGAATAATGATAATATAATAATTATTGAGCTTGCGTATAGGCTTGCACGTCCCCCAAAATAAACTACACAAACTGCCAATCTGTCACGCCCATGAACTCTCCTCCTGTTAAACTTAAACCCTCCCTTTCGCCTTCAATAATCACTTCTCTCTCCCCAGTTTCTCCGGCCGACCGGTGCTCCGTCGCGGGCGAACCGACCACAAATCGGCTCATGTTCATAGGAAGCTTCTCGTAAGAGGAATCCGAGGTTTTAATTTCGAGCAGGCTCATGGATAGGAGGTTCTACACCAACCCATTTGTGCACGATTATGAAGAAGACCCCGACCCCGAGCAGGGACCCGATTCGGCCTCCTCAGGGGACGACGCCAAGGTGAACGCTAGCGAACCGTCACAAAAGAGAAGGTGAGACATCTTGACGAGTGCCCTTTTTCCTTATAGAGATGTCCATGATGTTAACATTGACGGGGGTCGAATTCTCGTCGAGTAGGAAGAGCGTGAAGAAGAGAGTGGTGTCGGTTCCAATCGCGAGCGACGCCGAGGGATCGAAGAGCAAAGGGGAGGCCTATCCGCCCTCCGATTCTTGGGCGTGGAGGAAGTACGGCCAAAAGCCCATCAAGGGCTCACCTTACCCAAGGTACTTAATCTATCACTCATATAGCGTCAATTACCCTAAGATAGTCTCGTGTTCAAGTCCCTCTTTTTACGCACAACAAGAATCCTCCGCAATTCGCGACCACGAACGACTGTCGAAGAGACCGTGTTAGTGAATCAACGAAGCAAAGACGACGTCGTAGAAACCACTTTAGCCGCCGGCGAAGGTGGGGAAGTTGCTTGTTCCTTTTCGGTTGCGGGATCTCGGCGACAATGTCAATAGTGGGTGAGAGAGCTGGTTGGTTCGTCGGGCATAGTATAATACGCCGAGAGAGATGGGCTTTGGTTTGCAAAAATGCAGCTTAATTTATTGCCCATTGATTCATTTAGTCGCAGGACGGCTGATTCGAAAAATCAACCTTATCGTGGTAGTTGTGATGTGGTTAGTTGATGTTGTGTCACGCGCCATCGGCATTTGGGGGATGAACATGCTCCCTGTAAAGCTAGCCTGGACTTTATAGCATTTAAAAATATAGGAAGGAAAAAATGTAAGGGGCTTATCCTTGGGGGATTTTTATTAGGGTCATTGTCACGTACAATCTCGAGGGCACGAATAATCGCTCAAAATCTTATGGGTCAATCCGGGTGTCGGTCAGAGTTAAAGATGGAGTAAATGGCCGATAAATAGAATCGTTTGCAATTTAGTTGCGTAGAAGTCGGATCTACAAAAGGAAGTACAAATCGTTGGGAGGAATGACAGGTCGTTATGAGGTTAGGGCTCCAACGAAGAATTTCAACTTCAGTACACTTTGCTAATTAATGCGCCCATAGTTCCCTTGCTTTGCCCCCCGTTTTGTTCCACAGATTACGTATTAAAGCCCGGTTTGCACAAGGGATTGAAAAGATGCTCTACATGGATCTTGAATATCTTTAATTCATGCAAGCACTCGGGCAAACAGTAATGCACGGGACAAAATCAGTACCGGTTGCTAACCAACACTTTTTTTTTATCTAATTACCTTAGTATATTTATTCATGAGATATGAAGAGCTGTCTCGGTGATTTTTCGTTCGAAAGCGTGATTCTTATGAAGACTGTAATGTAGTCATCCTACATGGCATTTGAATTTTGTTTTGCGCAACACCAAAACGAGATTACTAAGTAGCAACAAGCAAGACATCGATCCACATTGCATTGCATGGCATGGGTGGTGGTGGGTGGAGAAAGTTAGCTGTAGCCAGGCGGGGGCTGCAAGAGAGAGGCGCGTGAGTGTCACGGTCGGAGTGGCGAGGAGTGGGATAAACTCGATTGCTTATTGCATCATCGACAATTAAAGAAATAAATATAATGTTTATAGCATAGAATAATGATAAATTTATGAGGTGCTTTGTTTGGAAATGGGATTGGACAGGGGATACTACCGATGCAGTAGCTCCAAGGGCTGCCCCGCCAGAAAGCAAGTGGAGCGAAGCCGCCTGGACCCCACCACCCTCCTCGTCACCTACTCCTCCGACCACAACCACCCCCTCCCCTCCTCCTCCTCCTCCAAGAACCACCACCACCACCACCACCTCCGCGCCCCCGCCGTCAGCGACTCCTCCACCTCCGCCTCCGCCTCCGCCGCGGACGCCGACGATCCCATCCCCGCCATGTTCGAGCCGGACGAGCTCTCGGGCTTCATCGGGGGCGCCCCTCTGCTCGACCCCGAGTTCGACTGGCTCGCCGACGTGGCCTCGACGTCGTCGTTCTTGCAGCGGCCGGTTTACGAGGGAGGCGCGGACGCGGCGCCTGTACATAGGTTGAGGGACGAGGAGGATGGGGAGGATCCGCTGTTCGCCGACTTGGGGGAGTTGCCGGAGTGCTCCTTGGTCTTCCGGCGGACCAAGTCAGCCGAACCGGAGGGAGAGAGCCGGAGGCGCGGTCTGACCGTGGTTTCCTGCGTCGGCAATGTAGTATAGCGCAGGTTTTGGTCGTCCAATCAACCGGGGTCTGTATCAATCAGACTCGGCGCGGGTCATGCGCCACGAGAAACGACACGGCGTCTCGCCGCACCGACGAATCTCTTTCCGGGACGTGGTTGCGGCGTCGTTTCATCCCATCGGGTCGTTGCAGCCATTGTAAACAGTAAAGAGCCTTACGCCATTTGAGGAGATGATGACAAATGAGAATGTTCACGTCTTACCCTAGTACAGGCCACCGATAGTATTTATGTTCCTTTTATGTAACAATTCTGGATTTTGCTGTGACTGGCAAAGCACTAGTTTACGGCTTTTGCACTTGCATTGCAACATTTGTCGAAACGAAATTGCTTACAATTGTTAATTTGATGTCACCTTCAGAATATCATTAACAATTCGAAGACGAATTTATATCCTAGAGGCCATCTTGTCTCACTCGCACTCAATCTTTGGTTCCTTTCGACCTCTCAGCGACTCGATCTCTTTCTCTCTCTCTCTCTCTAGCAACAGCTCTCCCCCTCATTCTCCCTGCTCGTTTCTTCTTTGCCGATGCCGATCATCAGCAACGAAGACTTCGGGATCTCAACAATTTAGTTTGATCATCGTTCGTAGTCAACATCTGCATCTCAAAGGTAAGTATCTCTATACATGGTTCTAAGAGAAACGGAGGCCAAGAATCTTAACTTGAATGGCCACATTCATTTTGCATCTTCGTCAACACTCACAGTAACAATTTCTTTTTGTTAATTCAAAGAGTACGTTTGTCCGTTGAATGAATACAAAAAAAGAAACTTAAAAAGAATCAACTGGTCCCGGGTTGACCCTAAAACCGAACCAGACCCACAAGGTCGGTCCAGTCCTTGGTCTTAAGCTCAATGCGGTCAATCCCTAGGTTAGGTGCTGGACCGGCTCAACTCGGACAATACTCATCCCTACGAATGGGTCCCAAAAATGGTTTTTTTTTCTCTTTTTCTTTTCATTCTTTTTATATTTCGGTTTCTTTTATTTTATTTTTAATATTTTTATACACATTTGACATATAAATTAAAAATCAGGTGTTAACATCCTTTGGTCGTGTGAAGAGATGGCTGACCTAGCCATATTTTGCTTTTGCATATAGATTACGGGCAAAAGTATACAAAAAGTGCCATAACTTGTATACGGCGATCACTTTGGTGCCATAACTTTTTTTCAGATCACTTTGATGCCAAGTCGGAGAAAAAGAGATCATTTTAGTGCCAATTTGGCCGGAAATCCGACGTGGCATTTTTTATTATTTTTTTACGCCGACATGGCTCGCCGGAGGCTGAGTCAGCGTGTACAGTCAGCATTTTTAATTTTAAATTATTTTTTAGCGTATACAAGACATTTTTAATTTTAAATATTTTTTTCCTTTTTTTTTTCTTTCCTTTTTCTTTTCTTTTCTTTTTTTCTTTTCTCCCCTCGCGGCCGGTTGCCGGTGGCCGGCCGGCCACCCGGCGAAGCCCGGATGGGCCGGGCGAGGGCGGCCTTGCCCATGGCCGGCGAGGGCGGCCGACCCTCGCCGGCGACAGGCGAGGCCGGCCTCGCCGGCCCAGGCGAGGCCGCCTCTCCAGCCCGGCGAGGGCGCCGCTCGACGCCGGCGAGGGTCTCCCTCGCCGGACGCCGGCGAGGGCGACCCTTGCCGGCGTCGGGCGAAGGAAGCCCTCGCCGGCGTCGGGCGAGGGTCGCCCACGCTCGACTCGGGCGAGGGCGACCCTCGCCGCCGCGAGGGTCGCGCCCGCGATCCTCGCCGGCGCGAGGGCGACCCTCGCCGGCGTCGGCGCACCTCGCCGCGCCGGGCGACCCTCGCCGGCGTCGGGCGAGGGTCGCCCACGCCCGACTCGAGCGAGGGCGACCCTCGCCCGCCCGAGGTGAGGGCTTCCCTCACCCGACGCCGAGCGAGGGCGGCCCTCGCGGGCCGGCTGCCTTGCACAGCGCCCGCGAGGTCGGCCGCCCCTCGCCGGCCATGGGCAAGGCCGCCCTCGCCCAGCCCTTCCCGGGGCCACCGGCGATCGGCCGGCGAGGGGAGAAAAGAAAAAAAAGAAAAGAAAAGAAAAAGGAAAGGAAAAAAAATATTTAAAATTAAAAATGCTGACTGTACATGCTGAAAAAATTTATTTAAAATAAAAAATACTGACTGTACACGCTGGCTCAACCTCCGGCGAGCCACGTCGGTGCCAAAAATTAATAAAAAATGCCACGTCGGATTTCCGGCCAAATTGGCACTAAAGTAATATCTTTTCCTCCGACTTGGCATCAAAGTGATCCGAAAAAAAGTTATAGCACCAAAGTGATCGCCGTACACAAGTTATGGCACTTGTGGTGTACTTTTGCCATAGATTACGTATTGACGGTGTCATTACCGCTATCAATCCAGTCTGCTACATAAGACTCCTTATGTTTCACTAGTGCTTCCTGCATCGCCTAATTCATACTTCGAAAAGTTACTATCAAAGCAATAGTGGCTTGGAGAAAAAGCAAAGCATATAAGCCAATCAAAACGATAACGAAGAAGTTGTGTGTCCAATAATAAACCATTGAATACAATGATACAAGACCAAAAGAGAACGCCGACTAAGAGAAGCTCTTAATTGAGAATAGAGACATGACTTGTTAACAAAATAGAAAAAAGAAACATAATCGAGAGATCTATATCAATTTACTCAGATCAGGTGTACTACTGCATGGGGAGAGATTCTTGGGATACTAGAAACCTTCTTCGAAAAATCCAAAAGCATATCCGAAGTAAAGTATTCCTCTAGGCCGATGTCAGAGAAACATGAGAAACCATTTCGAGCTTCTTTAAAATTCCTTTTAGCAGAGATCACCATTGTCTCCAAAACAAGCGCATTCCCAAGTAGAAACTCGATTAGCTCGATCACGTATGGTTCGGTCACGCATGCATATATCATTACCTTCTTGAGGTGGTGTGCAAGACAATGAAATGTGCCCTCAACTGAATACCAGTAACTCCTCCCATCAAAATTACAAGCTCGATCCCACGAAATTCGCTGACAAATAGTAAACAAAGTGCAAAGCTCAAGCATTGATAATTCAAATAAATTTAATTTCTAAAAAATTAACTGCTTATGACATCCAATATCCACAATTCAATCGCAAGGTAATATACTTAACGAAATTCAAAAATATATTCAAAGTAATGAAGAGGTGCCACTGTTCTTTATCCATGAAAGTAAAAATAATTTTCAGACCAAAAAAAAAATTTAACTTTTAAAGAAATATATCTCTTATTCTCGGAAAACTGTACTAAAGCAATATATGTCACTAACATCGTTTATCAGGCACCCGAATATTTAATGGATAAACATAATAAGGTGAGTGTCTCTAAAAAAATTGCAAGTTTCTAGTTCGTACCTGACCATCGTTGTTGTATGACGGATAGACATATATGGTAAGTGTTTCTAGAAAATGGCAAGTCTCTAATAGGTAAGAAATCCCGGGGAGGTGGCACTTTGCCAAATGAAGTATCATTGTCACAGACTTCCAGTTGAAAGATGGATGTGATTTATTCATCAGCTTCCATCTGCTGAAGACCTTGAGATGGAAAATTGAGAACCATTGGAGGAATTGAAATACTTAAAACACAAAACAGGAGAGACAAAAATTTAGAAAAGTAAAATAACAGCATCTGACCGATAACGCTTGATGTTCTGATAATTAAAGTAAATCAGAAAGATACAACAACTACCGCGCCTCCTCTAACTAAGTCGGATCAAATACATAATATAAACAAAGTGGATATCTCACGAATTGAAATCACTGCTTTAGGCCTTGAAAGCTACAGTTTTCTGCAAAGAGTAATTGATGGATCCAATTTCCACTACACATCAATGATTCTAGTCAAACAACTAGAATACCACACATTCCGCAAGCTGGAGTTATCATCCACTAGCCCTTCTAACTATTAACTGATATACACCTCCAGGTGATATACTTGAGTTTTGGAAGTATTGATACAAACAAGCACCCTTAAGGATGAAGGCATCAATCGATAATTGATACTGAGAAAAGACTCTGACGAAACCTTCCTTTATCAAATGTGCAAGATTAGATTCAGATTATTATTATCACGAACAACACAATGCTAAATTACCCAAAATAGCCCACAGATAAAGCAACACAAACAAATCAGAAAGATTAGCTGACAAGAAAGCACAAATATGGACACCAGAAAAAAGATCCATTGATATCAAATGGCAACATCATCCCTTCTGCGCGAAACATTTAGTTGCAGAAGTTGGATGAAATCAACCAAATGACAATGTTATAAGACAGAAACAAAAAAGACGAGCCTTATCTAAAATAAATAGTTTGCATTTGTGTTTTGAAGATTATGGTATACCGCAAGACTTGGACAGTGGACAAACCCTCCAGCCACTTCTGCCATTTCTCACGTCAAGAATTTCTATTCTTATATCACTTAAAAGACTTCAAATCATTTAAGTAGAATGGAAATCTACCGGTATAATCCAATTGCATTTAATAGGAATGGAAACCTACCAGCATAATCCAATTGGCCAGACTAAAATATGCAATGTTACGGAGCTTTCCCAGAAGTGTTTCGACCTCAACATCTTCCAGAAAGAAATCTCCATAACCATGGAAATAGAGGGCCGCATCATTAAGGGAAGACCCGCAATCCAAATTTACTCCATCCGGTTCCGGTCCATCCAGTTCAAGTGTCGAGACATTCGGACAGATTATCTTACTCGACGGATAAGCGATAAAGATGGCCAATATTTTGATGCCCGAACTAGCAAGATCCACTTTTTCCAGGTCTCTACATTGACGAACATTCAATTCTTCAAGTGATGGATGCCTATCTAACTTCAGAACTCGTAGGCCAGAGCAATACCGGAGAGACACCTTCTTCAACAACGGGCTACCCAAAACCAACTTACGCATCACCTCCTCGCTTAAAATAACATCACACATCCACAACTTTTGAAGCGACTTCAACTGAATCTGTTCTCCAAATTCGACATGACATAAACTCAAATTGAGCTCCACCAGACTACTAGTAGTAAAAACAGCACTCGGCACTCTGCAATGAAACAGCAATGCTCCCAATGGGGTATGATACCCCAATAGGTTAACATCGAGGACCTTCACCTTTTTCTTCAGCGCGAAGAATATCCACTCGTCCAATCTATCTCTACTTGACATTACTCCTTGATGGTCATATTCAGGATTAGGGGAGATACTCGCATAGGAGAACAACACGATACGGAGCCTATGGATTTCTGGGCTCTCGTGTAGCGCCAACACATGGTCGACAAAATTCCAGAGCCTGCTGCCGCCGTCAGCTCCGGAACGGCCACGGTCGCAGGTATGGAAATCGTCTTCCTGGAAGGACAGACTGCTCAGAGATGTCCAGAGGCCACGGAACGGCCGAAGCATCAACGATGCGCGAACAGCGCACCTGAACGGCAGGAAGGAGAGTATGTGGAGGAGGAGAAAGTCGGGCAAGCCGCTGATCCTGTCGACTGCCTCGTCCTCTTCGCTCTTTCGTGGGTCTGAACCGCCGGCTCTGTCTCTGACATCACCAGTTCTCTTCATGGCTTCGCTCACACAACTCTCAGGAGGCACAGGTGAATTCTTCACAGGGAAAAGCAAAGGACAGGACGGTGCGATCAACGCGAGCGGAGAGAAAACAGAGCAGATGTGGCTGCAACCGCAACGGCTCTCAAGCTTTCAGGCGTAATGCAAGTACCAAAGCCATACTTATACCGGGCGAGGGACGGTGATTTCATATTGGGCCGGCCCGATAGGCGGGGCTAAGCATGTTTATTTGCTGAATGATAACGGGAGTATTTAAATGAGAAATACAATATGATTGCCTTCTAACTTGATGTCTGATCACGTGGAATGAATGATTTTCCCTCTAAATGAGAAATGTAACATGATTTCCTTCCATATGAGAAATATAATATGATTTCCTTCTAAATTTGCAAAACCCTATTTGGGTTATTCATCCGAGTTCTAATTTGTGTCTTAACTTATTAGTGCAATATTCACGTACCAATATGAGCAATCTCATAAATAAAAGTATTTGCTACAATTCAATTGTAGATGGACATTATTCATAGATCTTTTATAGATGTATCTTTTATGATGCCCACTGATATAATATGTTTAGGACTAAATTGACAAAATTGACAAAATTGAAAGGTTTAAGACTGAATTGGCCGCCGTACAATAGGTTTAGAACTTTTTGGATAATTTTCTCCAACCATTTACGAGTGATTGGTTAAATTGACACACTCTACGACCCAAAAATCTCCAGGGTCCTAATATTAGGAAAAACTATCTCCATTACACAATTCAGAGTATCAACAACAGTGGTTAATTTGTTGCATCAGCGCAAGCAAGATCAAGCTTGTCCAAACCCTCACACGTGTCGAGGTTTAATTATCCAATATGTGGGTGCCTATCGATCTGAAGCTTCTAGAGATTATAGCATTCTTCAGGAGACGACTCTCCCAGCAATGGGCAAGCGGATACCATCGCACCCAAGAACTTCGGAAGAAGAGCTCACTGAACCAAAATTTATACCCTATTTCGGTTTACTCCCAAAATTAAACAGTTCAATCATGCAAATGGAGGGCAGAGCTTCAGCAGAGACTCAAATTCGTTTACAAACCCTAATTTTACCCTCCCAACCCCAAATTTTCCTCTCACGAGCCCTAATTTTCTCTTACGAACTAATTTTTCCCTCCAATTGAGTGACACAGAGAGAGAAATGCACCTTATTGACTGCAAGCAACGGCTAGCGATTGCGACGAGGGCGAGTGTGCAAGCACGGGCGGGCATGCAACATCGTTTTTTTCATTACCCGGCCATGTTGGAATGAGTGAAGTCATTTCGCACATCCACATGGATTGGGTTATTAAAAAAATTATGACATGTCACTTAAACTCTTTATTTACAAATGCCATTTTTTTTTGCTGGAATTTCTCAATGGAGACACTTAAGTGATTTTTTTTTTCAAAATTCGGCACGTAATTGAGCTGGCAAAAATTTTTGGCACTAAAGTGAGGCCGTACACAACTTTTGACACTTCTAGTATCCTTCTGCCTAGGATCTTCTCACTCAGCGTGATTTCCTTCGGTGATAGTTTACTAAGTGACTTCAATTGACGTAGTCCAAGTGGTTTGACATCACAGGCAAATAACTTAAAGGGTTAATATCACGAAAAACCTCAAACTGGTACACATGCAACAAATTTACCAAAAGCTAATTTTTTAATTACCAAAAACCCCAAACTGATACATCTGTGACAAATTTACCACAAACTAATTTTTTTACTACAAAAAATCTCAAACTGGTACATCTGTAACAAATTTACCCTCCATTAGTTTCCATTAAATTTGACCCTCCAAACTAGCGAGGCCTTGGCTTCACCAACCTGGCTAGCCTTGAGCTCGCCGGCCTAGTGAGGCCAAGGCTCAATCCTTGCAGATCTGGCAAGCTCGAGCTTCATTGGTTGCCTTCTATCGCCGTGGCCGGTCGAAGAAGAAAGAAAAAAAAAAGAGAAAAATTAATTAAAAATTTGATATTTTTAAAAAGAAAATATAAATATAAAAATAATTAAATATTCAATTTTTAAAATAATAAAATAAAAAAATTATTTAAATGAGTGCAAGGAGGAAAATCAAATCATATTTTCCATACAAAACTACAGAAAATATTTTCTAATTTATTTTCAGGTTTTAGTCAAACACCGGAAAATATTATTATTTTATTAGAAAATGACTTCCTAGAAAATATTTTTTTAGAAATGTCACATTTTTCGCACAACAAACGGAGTGACAATTTTTTTAAAAAAATTATAAAAATTATCCATTAGATTTGTATTGCATATAAGTGTTTTAACAATATAATTTTAAAAAAAAATCATAAGAAACAAGTTTTTCTAAATTGGGTTAAAATATGAAAGTATTTTAGCAATATGATCGGATCGGGTCGTCCAAATCAGGTTGGGTATGGGTTGGGTATGAGTCAAATATGGGTCAAGAAATTTACATTACAAATAAATGGGTCATAAACAGATTAATGGGTCAAGTTGGATCGGACCAATTGTGACTCGACTCAACCCACCCATTTAACATGACTAATTCCAGATATCATCCATGCAAGTTTGAATCAAGTTTTGATTTTAATCCGCAGATTAACCCCTTGCAATCTTCCAACACTGAGTGAATCCTGAAGGTCATGAAGTAAATCGGAAGTCCTGTGCTACAACGAAACTTATTAAACCGACTATTCCCTTGTAGAGAAAAGACGAAACTTAGAGCACGCGTCAGGTATCATTTATACTAGTAATAATCCTCCTTCCACCGTCCACACTAAACATCAATGCACCTGCTTTCTTCAATCCATTCAACGAACATGTTTGGATTAGCAAACCACGTCCATCCTCCATCTACCAAGAACGCAGGCATACATGATAATTTAGTGTTAGCATCAAGTGCCAATTTATGTTGACTACAGACTGCAACTTGATATGGCTGAAAAATCACATCAAGCCCTGTCTATCCTTTAAGACCAAAGGCAATTCTTTCGATCGACAGCTCGCCGATTTAACTTGTAAGAGTACTGAGAGGTGAGAGAAGGTCAAAGATCTCCAAGCAAACTCATTTTGCTTGAACATCAGTTTGTTTCCCCATTTGGGAATTGTACCATCACATTAGCTTCACATTTATTTTGCGAAATCAAGTCAAGATCTTTAAACTAAACCTGCCACAAAATATTTTCAATTCAATTTCATAGTTGATTTCCACTGTCAAATTTCCGACTGAGAAGCCAAAATTGACCACAAGGTTTTGATGGTAACATCATACGTGCATAGCTAAAGTGACAAGAAATTTGCTGGACTTTTCTTGCTCTCCCTTTTCTCATTCCATTTCCAAGTTGCAAACCAAATTTGCATATCCACAAAACTTCCTCTATCAAAGTCTAGGCTCTACTTCCAAAACCAAATTTGCATATGGATTACGTATTGTTGGACTGCCGTTACCACTATCACTTCAGATAATTACATGGCTTTCTTCTGTTCTAGCATCATCCACTTCAAACTTTGAAAAATTTACCATAAAAGTAATAGTGGCTTGGTGAAGAAGCCAACCAAAATGATAACAAGAATCGTAAAGTTGTGTTTCCAATGACACACTATTGAATCCATCGATTTAAGACCAAAAAAGGAAAGCCAGCGAAGAGAAAATGTTAACCGAGGATATAGACATGACTTGTTAGCATAATAGAAACTGCAGAAATGAAATAAAGCAGTACTTCTATGTTTGAGAAAACAATATCAACCCACTGTCATGTGTATTACTGCATGGGGAGATATTCTCGGTAAACTGAGAACCTTTTTCGAAAAATCCAGAAGCATATCCGAGGTAGGGGCCTTGTCCAGGAATATGTCTTTCGAATAAAATATCTCTTTTCGAGTTTCTCCAGAAATCTTTCTACTAGAGATCACCATTCTCTCCAAAACCAGTGCATTCCCAAGTAGAAACTCGATTAGCTCGATCACGTATGGTTCAGTCACGCGTGCATATATCATTACGTTCTTGAGGTGGTGTGCAAGACAATGAAATGTGCCCTCAACTGAATGCCAATAGCTACTCCCACCAGAATTACATGCTCGATCCCACATATTTCCCTGACAAATAGCAAACAAAGCGCAAAGCTCAAGCACTGATAAATCAAATAAATTTAATTTCTAAAAATTACACGACATCCAATATCCATAATTCAATCGCAAGTTAATGTACTTAAGGAAATTTAGAAATAAATTCCATGTAATGAAGATATGCCACTGTTCTCTACCAACGAAAGTAAAAATAATTTGAACTTTTAGAAAAAAAATATCCCTTATTCTCGCAAAACTGTAAGCTAAAGAAATAAATGTCTCTAACACCATTTATAGGCACTTGAATATTTGACGAATAAACATTCATGGTAAGTGTCTCTTGGAAAATCTCAAATCTCTAGTAGGTACCTGAATATCCTCAGGATTTGACGGATAAACATATATGGTAAGTGTTTCTAGAAAATTGCAAGTCTCTAGTAGATAAGAAATCCCAGAGAGGTGACACTCTGCCAAATTAAGTGTCATTGTCACAGACTTCCAGTTGAAAGATGGACGTGGTTCATTCTTCAGCTTCCATGTGCTGAAGTCCTGGAGATGGAAAATTGAGGAGGAACTGAAATACTTAAAACACAAAATAGGACAAACAAAAATCCAGAAAAGTAAAAGAAGAGCATCTCACCGATAATGCTTGATGTTCAGATAATTAAAGTAAATCAGAAAGATACAGCAACCAACAACAACTACTACGCCTCCTCTAACTAAGTCAGATCAAATACATAATATAAACAAAGTGTTTATCTTCTTTACTTCACCAATTGAAATCATTGCTTTAGGCCGAATTCTGGCATCCCTGCGCCTTGAAAGCTACAGCTTACTGCAAATAGTAATTGATGAATCCAATCTCCACTAAACTTCTATCATACTAGTCAAACAACTAGAATTCCACACATCACACAAGCTGGAGTTATCACCCAGCTGCCCTTCTAACTACTAATTGATATACACCTTAAGGATGAAGGCAACGATTCTGAGCAAAGACTCGGACGAAACCTTTCTTCATATAATATGCAAGATTAGATTCAGACTTTTATCATCACCAACAACAAAATGCTAAATTACCCAAGATATAGCCCACAAATAAAGCAACACAAACAAAGCAGAAAGATTAGCTGACAAGAAAGCACAAACATGGACAACAAAAAAAGATCCATTCATATCAAATGGCAATATCATCCCTTATGCACCAAACATTTAGTTGCAGAAGTTGGATGAAATCAACTAAACGACAATGTTATAAGACAGAAACAAAAAAGACGAGCCTCATCTAAAATAAATAGTTTGCATTTGTGTTTTGAAGATTGAGGTATAATGCAAGACTTGGACAGTGGACAAACCCTCCAGCCACTACTGCCAACCAGTGCTCACATCAAGAAATTCTAATCGTATCACTTAAAAGGACTTCAAATCATTTAAAAAGAATGGAAACCTCCCAGTATAATCCAATTGCATTTAAATAGAATGGAAACCTACCTGTATAATCCAATTGCCCAGAGTAAAATTTGCAACGTTACGGAGCTTTTCCAAAAGTGTTTTGACCTCTCCACGTCTCCAACCAGAACCACATAGGGCGACATCATTAAGCGAAGACCCGCAATCCAAATTTATCATGTCATCCTCCTCATCCAGTTCAAGTGTCAATATTTTGATGCCCGACCTAGCAAGATCCACTTTTTCGAGGCGACAATTACAAATGCTCAATTCTTCAAGTGACGGATGTCTATCGAACTTCAGAACTCGTAGGCCACAGCAAGTCTGGAGAGACAAATTCTTCAACGACGGGCTACCCGAAACCAAATTACGCAGCACCTCGTCGCTTATGTCAACATCAAACATCGACAACTTTCGAAGCGACTTCAACTGAATCTGTTCTCCAAATTCGACATTATATACATTCAACTTGAGCTCCACTAGGCTACTAGCAGTAAAAACAGCACTAGGCACTCTATAGTGAAAGGGTTCCGCCGGCACACCAAACCCAAGTAGGCAAACATGGAGGGCCCTCACCTTCTTCTTCAGCGCGAAGCAGATCCACTCACCCAATTTATCAGGCGGAAAAAAGCATCCCAACTCGAAACGGAACGTGTGGATTTCTGGGTTCTCGTGTAGCGCCAGCACATGGTCCACGAAATTCGAGACCCTGCCGCCGCCAGCTCTGGGACGGCCGCGACGGCGGGGACGGAAATCGCCCTCCTGGAAGGACAGGCTGCTCAGTGATCTCCAGAGGCCACGGAACGGCCGAAGCATCAAGGATGCGCGGACGGCGCACCTGAGCGGCAGGAAGGAGAGTATGTGGAGGAGGAGCGAGTCGGGCAAGCCACTGATCCTGTCGACCGCCTCGTCCTCCTCCTCTTCGCTCTTTCGCGGGTCTGAACCGCCGGCTCCGTCCCTGAGATCATCAGATCTCCTTCTCCTCATGGCTTCGCTCACACGACTCGCAGGAGGCACGAGTGAATTCTTTAGACTGAGAAACACAGGTTTATATCGGGCGAGCGATGGTGGTTTCGATGGTTGTCAATGGGTCGGGTCGGATCGGCCTTTCATGATACCCTACTCGACCCGAAAAGGGTCGTGCTTGACCCGCCCCGAGACCCTGTTCAGTATACACTCCAAAGGGATGTGCCGGGTCGGGTCGGGTCGGGCCGGGTCGGCTTTAATTCCTCCTCTGCTCAATTTCTCTTGCAAAGTCCTCCGTCCCGAATGTGGCTTTGGGGAGCCTCCTGGTTCGCATGCCAAACCGTTCACCTCCCCCAACAAATCAGGTGTTTTTGATCAAGAAATCTATCTTCATGCTCATCACCCACATCTTGATGTTTGAGACCCATGTCTCCAATTCTCAGTGGGATCCTTCTCTGTGGGTAGATAATCTCCTCTTCATTCAAGCGCAGGACCCACCTTGTTCAATCCTTCTCGGTTGTCTTCCTCCACTGGCTCTACTATGTCTCATGATTCAACCCTCTACCGGCGCACAAAACACTGTAGTTTGTATCTGCATCAATGGCATCTCCTTGTGGGACATCTTCAGGGTCGTCCCTGGTTCAGAAATCGGCCCCGAGGAGGAATTGCAGGTTGTCATGGACCAGAGGAAGAGGAAGAAGATGATCTCGAAGAAGACTAAGGTCCAAATACCCGTATCTAAAAGCCTTACCCGAAGAAGACTAAGGTCCAATCCCAAAATATCCCAAATTTTAGGGCCGGACCGAGCCGGTGCAGGCCGGGCCGAGCCGGCGCTGGCTTTTTTGACACCCCTAATAGGCGGGGCTAAGCTTGTTTATTTGCTGAATAATATTGGGAGTATTTAAATGAGAAATATAATATGATGGCCTTCTTAATTGATATCTGATCGCGTGGAATGAATGATTTTCCCTTTAAATGAGAAGTATGATACGAGTTCCTTCTAAATTTGCAAATCCCTATTTGGGTTATTCATCCTAGTTTTAACTTGCGTCTTAACTTATCGATGGGGTTAGTGTAATAATATTCACAGATCAATATGAGTAATCTCGTAAACAAAACTATTTGCTAAAATTTAATTTTAGATCGACATTTTTCATCGATCTTTTATACATATTTAAAGAAACACGAAACTTCCTATTGTGTTATACTTCTTTAGGTGCACCTGGATCAGTATGTAATCAATGTTCACGATTTTGTTAATCAATAGACGCAAGAAAAATAGAAACTGCATGTGTAGTTAGTTCATATAAATGGTTGCTCCATATATTTTGATGCTAATGACGAAGCTTTTACGTCTCCAGTAATTTTTATGCCAGTCATTAAAGACATTAATTGCGAGGTTCTTATTTTACAGTAAGTTAAGGACGGCGAAACGTGGATTTACTAGATACTACCCAAGGGCTATGCACGGGATACATGTAGTAGATTCATTCATTACACAACATTCAGAATGGAAAAAAGTTATCAAAATTGGTACTATGAGAGTTCTTTAGAAGTAGATTGTTCGTCTTCTTGAAAATTATTTTTGTTCTCTTCCTACATACAATATGTGATGGCAACGGTCATTCTCTTTCGATATGATAGATGCTTTTAAAACCACATGATGCACGCCGAAAAAATTGCCAACTTGATAAGCCCTTGAGGCAGCACTTGAGATATATGACTACCCAAATTGACTAGCATAAATTTGAAAAATCTTGTGGTATAACTAAAATGCTTTTTTGTTCAAGTAACAGTTATTGATAGCCTCGGGTTGGTGCTCCTTCGACCTTTTCAAATCCTCCCAAAGTCATTGATAAAATCAAAAAGTGTTTTTCGAATACTAATGCCAAATTACATGAAGTAGACGTTTCTTATTAAAAAAAGTTACATACAAAGAAAGTCGTTGATAAAATTTTCCAGTTTAGTCTTCTATTTTAATGAATTTCCTCATTAATTTCTTTCAAACGTTAAAATTGTAAAACCGTGAAAGCAAAAAACCATCTACCACCTTAGAAAAAGAAAAAAAACTGCTTACATTTATTTACGAGATGCACGTGGCGCGTCTAGAAGTTAAATGTAAAATAATAGGACCGTTATATAACCATCTTCCATTTTTCTTTATTTCCATTCCACGAGATTGGACACCAATTTAGAAGGTAATCAGATCATATTTCTCGTTTCAATACTCCCAGTATTATCACCAAATAAACAAGCTTAGCCCTTTCCATAAAAAAAATAAAAAATAAAAAAAACCAAGCTTAGCCCCCGCCTATTGGGCCGGCCCAATATGAATTCACGGTATAAATATAAAGAGTTTCCTTGTGCCTCCCGCGACTTGTGTGAGCGAAGCCACGAGGAGAACTGTTGATCGCAGAGACAGCGAAGAGGATGAGGCGGTCTACAGGATCAGCGGCTTGCCCGACTCGCTCCTCCTCCACATACTCTCCTTCCTGCCCTTCAGGTGCGCTTTCGGTGCCTCCTTGATGCTTCGGCCGTTCTGTGGCCTTTGGAGATCTCTGAGCATGCTGTCCTTCGAGGAGTGCGATTTCCATGTCTGCCGTCGCGGTCGTTCTAGAGCTGGCGGCGGGTTCTCGAATTTCGTGGACCATGTTTTGGCGCTACACGAGAGCCCCGAAATCCATACGTTCCGTATCGAGTTGGACTTCCATGCGAGTGGCTCTCCTAACCCTGACGGTCGTGGAGTAATGTCAAATAGATTGGATGAGTGGATATGCTTCGCGCTGAAGAAAAAGGTTAAGGTCTTGGATGTTGCCCTAGGTGGCTGTGCTAGGCCGTTGGGAGCAAAGCCAGCTCTTCACTATAGAGTGCCGAGTGCTGTTCTCGGTTCTAGTAAGCTGGTGGAGCTTTTGTAATATCGAATCTCTAGGACAGATTCATTTGAAATCGCTTCAAAAGTTGTCGATGTTTGATGTTAATTTAAGCGAAGAGGTGATACAAAATCTGGTTTCGGGAAGCCCGTCATTGAAGAAGGTGTCCCTCCAATGTTGCCATGGCCTACAAGTTCTGAAGTTCGAAAGGCACCCGTCCCTTGAAGAATTGAATGTTTGTAATTGTGTTGACCTGGAAAAAGTGGATCTTGCTAGTTCGGGCATCAAAATATTGGCCGTCTATGTCGGTTATCCCCTGAGTAAGATAATCTGTCCGAATGTCATGACACTTGAACTGGATGGATTACAAGATGATGTAAATTTGGATTGCGGGTCTTCCCTTAATGATGTGGCCCTCTATGTCAGCGGTTTTGGAGATTTCTTGTTGGAACGAGGTGTCTTTCTGGAATATTATGAGTTCAAAAGGCTTCTGAAAAAGCTCCGTAGCATTGCACATTTTACTCTGTGCAATCGGAGTATACTGGTAGGTTTCCATTCTATTTAAATGATTTGAATGTTAAGTGATAAGATTAGAATTTCTTGATGAGAGCTGGCAGTGGTGGCTGGAGACTTAGGTACTGCATGATAACCATTCCTGCAGTTCTGTCCAGGAGCGGTTTTTGCTCCCAAATCGAGTTTTGGCCGAAAACCCGTTTGTTAACGCAATTTAATTTTTCTATTTCCGGGACAAGTTTTTGTCCCAACTCGTTTTGGACAAAAAATGAGAAACAGAAAAAACTAGGTTTTTCGTTTCGGACCAAAAGTGAGAACTCATTCCCGAAGAAATCGATTTTCTTCAACACATCTCTCTCTCGTCTCCTTCGAGCTCTCTCTTACCTTGACTCTCTCTCTACTCTCTTCTGTTGCCGTCGACGAGAGGAAGCCAAGCCACTCGTTCGCTTGCTCCGACCGAGAGGAAGCCGGGCCGCTCGCTCCTCGCTCCACGTAAGCTCCGATCGTGCGCAAATCTCTTCTCATCTCTCTCTTTTCTGGATTTGGAAGTCGCCGTGATCGAGGGTCGGCTCGGCCTCGCCGTGGGCGACGGTCGAGCTCGCCGTTTTCATTTCTGGACCAAAAGTGAGAACTCATTCCCGAAGAAATCGATTTTCTTCAACACATCTCTCTCTCGTCTCCTTGAGCTCTCTCTTCCGCCCGACTCTCTCTACTCTCTTACTGTTGCCGTCGACGAGAGGAAGCCAAGCCACTCGTTCGCTTGCTCAGGCCGAGAGGAAGCCAGGGCCGCTTGCTCTGCTCCACGTAAGCTCCGATCGTGCGCAAATCTCCTCTCATCTCTCTCTTTTACGGATTTGGAAGTCGTCGTGATCGAGGGGTCGGCCGGCCTCGCCGTGGCGACGGTCGAGCTCGCCGGCCCAGGGCGAGGCCGCTCGGCCTCCCCGAGGCCGAGCGGCCTCGCCCGGGGCCGGCGGTCGAGCTTGCGTCGCCCGGATGCACGCAAGGCCGGCGGCCTCGCCATGGGCGGCGGTCGAGCTCGCCGTCGCCCGGATCGGGGCGAGGCCAAGCGGCCTCGCCGTGGGCGGCGGTCGAGCTCGCCGTCGCCCGATATCTGGGAAAATTTTGGTTGTTTAGGATTTATGGTAAGTCGGTTCCGTCGCTTGGATTCCTTCGCTTTTGGAGTGTTTGTTTCTCAAGAATTTGTGGTGTGTGGACTCGAAGATTGCTAGGGTTTGGGTTGGATGAGATTAGTCGGTTCGCATTAACGTGCTCGGGATATTGAATGGGGACCTCTTAATAAGCCGAAAGATGTAGAAGTCGCGATGCTTGGGAACATTCGACCACCGAACAGTTGCTCCATAATTGGTAGCGAACTCCAAATTGGTGAAGTAAATGGGTTTCTATTTTGAAAGCCAGTGTTTCGCCCGATTTTTCACCGATTTGATCGGGAATTTTGCGTCGGGTTCGATTTCCACTTCTTCGAAGTGTTCGTGTCAAAATTCTTGGAGGTTCAACTCGGGTATGCAATTTCTTCTTTGAAATCTTCGATGGGAGTTCTTCAACCGTTCAAATTTGCGAATCTTGTTGATTTAACTCGATGATTTGTGTTTTTAAAAATTGATGTGCATCTCCGAAGTC